CTTAAGAGCGATGGCCTCCAACCTAAGAGCGATGGCCTCCAACCTAATAGCGATGGCCTCCTAACAGCGATGGCTTCCTATGTGTGATGGCCTCCAACCTGAGAGCGCTGGCCTCCAATAGCCGGCAAGTCAGCCGTATCAAATGTCCCAGCACCTAGTCACCCGTTGTCACCCGTGTCTCACTCTTAGAGGCTCAAGGTCAGGTTCTAGGTCGAAGCGACAAGTGCATTAGACTAGGAACATCAAGGACCTTGATTCACCTGGCGGATCATGCAAGTCCCCCATTTCAGGGTAGAAACCGTGGCTACTCCAGTTGCTACAAGCCAAGCCTTCATCCATCCCGTCTAGAGTCCAGATTATATATATATATGTATATATCAATGCCTGGCATGCATCTCCACAGGGGGTTCCTCTACGTGACCAATGCAAGCAATTCAAGCTATTTGCAGCGATTACATTTACATGCTTCGCCTTCAACACTGTCATCTTGAGGCAAGATTTTCAGCACAAGCTTCTCCAACTGCTCAGCCTCCAGGATTACAAAGGATCGTTCATCCGTGCAGGTAAGACTGACACACCTGTAGAGCTTTTGTTTTAAAGGCTTTGACTTGCACCGTGTCTCAACGGTGCAATTTTGGTGGAATCATTTCCTCTGAACAGCTCACTGACCTGCCATCACCTGAAACCAACTGTGCCCCAAGAGGCGCCTTCTTTTTTGCTATGAGCATCCCTTTGGCAGTTGCCTACCAATTTGCAAGCCATGGTCTGATGGTTTGAATCAGCGTAGCCTCTGATAAATGAGATGTCCTGCAAAACTCAGAAGATTCTACCATTGCGCCCGAAAAAAGGACACAGGACACACAAAAGCACAGTACTGGGTATGAGGCAAAGGCAAACAACTGCATTTTGGGCCATGTTTCATGGCAGTGAATTGATCAAGCGTAGATCTCATGCGGCCTCACCCTTCACCTCGGCCATACCTTGGCACAGAGTCTCTTCAGCAAGTTGGCTAACAGCAAAACAATGCTGCTGTCCAAAAGAATCTAAAAAAGGTCCCTTCTGCTCCACTAAATGACTTGGCAACTTTGTTTATGATCTCCAAAATGTTGCCAACCAATCTTTGCGTCTCGATTGCAGTGCCCATCTTTTCGTGAGGTTAATATGCACATGTACACCACCACGTGACCACATTAATCACATTGATTAAATGCCTTTCTAAAGTGACTGAAGGCTTACAAACAGCGTTAGTGGACAATTTGTGCAACTCAACAAAAAGTATTTCTCGAGGAGATGCGGGTCGCACCTACATTCCGCCCTCCAATACAAATACACACAGTCTGATAGTTGTTGGCATTGGCACCGTTCTTCCCGGGAAAGTACGCATATGATATCTTGAAATGTCCAAAGGATGCCTTATATATAGCAGTCCACAAGGTTTGGCCTCCACAGCTCGTTTCTCAGCCATGATGCCTTTTGTAAACTCAGACACACTGAGTGCGCCTTCACCATCAGCATCCAGGACCTCTGCTTTCAATCAATCTTCGAAGGACAGTGAAAGGTATAGAAGGCCTTTGAGGTCTCCAAATCTTGTTTTGGGTGACCAGGCTCTTTCTCTGACCTTTTGGAACTAGCCCGAAACTTGGACAGGTCGTACAAAGTAAACTACGAAGTAGACAAAGTAACAGTGGATAGCCTGGTAAATCGCACTACAGCAGATATTGAAAAGCACCCTCGCATATTTGACAGTGGAATCAGCAATTGGAAGGATAACTGGCTCGCACAATATGTCACTCCAAATCCAAGCGAATCACACCACCCTGCCTTGAACAAATGCTTCGCTTCATCTTCATCAAAGCCCAGCAAGAGAAACTTGTTCCTGGTCCCAAAGCTCCATGGCCAAATCCCTTTGCTCCTAGTAGCGTCCTTTGCTCCTAGTAGTACGGCCAGGAGCCCCTAGTAGCGTTCTTGCTCCTAGTAAGCAGGGGACAAAGCCCGGACAAGAGGGCCGGCAACGCGGACAAGCAGGACAGAACCGGACGAGGCCCGGACAAACTGAACAAACAAGGCACACGACATCCGGACAAAGCCTGGACAAGGAGAAGAAAACACTGCCCACGGCGCGGCCAAGCAGGACACACAAAGCCGGGACCGGATAAGGCCCGGACAAGGCGGTTAAGAAAGGGCGGACTGCACGGCCACGGCTATCGTGGCCGGCCCATGTTAGTAAAAACACCAACAGTAAACTGTTTGGTGAATAAACGTGTTTTTCTATGTTTTTCTACTACAGTAGTAGTATCATAGAATCTGTTTAGCAGAACTCCGGGAAGCATAGTGTCTCTAGACATTTGTCAACACTTGATTTATGTTTGACTCATCGGTTTCCTGGCCATGTCTTTCGACCACACTCTGGCATGTGTGTGTGAAACCCTTGGAGTCAAAGGGAAGGTTTTGCGCTAATTGTTTTTGCGCTAATTGTCAACTTGCCAGAAACAGATAGCTTACCCAGCTCACTGCTTGACATGGAACTGCGGTATGCTCTTGAGAGGAATAATACAAGGAACTTGAGGAGTTTCACACAAGTTTACTCTGCAATAAAGTCTTAGCCAGTGCATTTGCCTGATTTCAGGGACCTTGAAGGCTGCGTCAAACTCCTCCATTGTGACCTGAGGCTAGCTGCGCTACTTACTTACTGACATGGTAAGTATGCTCGCATCAACTGCACGTTGCCTGGCCACTTCCATCTGCATCGAGCTTCAAGAAAAGGCTTCTGAGTTCCTGTCAGATGGCGCTGCGCACGTAGCAGAAAGAAACACACGATAACGCACGTATTTCTTGGAGTTCAGCCGATGCAGGATGTATTCCTTTTTGGAGAAGTGACAGTATATTGGCTTTGTTGAGAGACCACCGCATGCCCCCATCTAGAAAGCATCCTGCCGCCGCTACTATAAATACTCTGACCTGCAGTTCAATGCGGGCATTCTCGTGTCAGGAAAACACATGCAAAACTGCAAAACCAATAAGATGGCTTCATGATGCTTCATGGATTTGTTCACACTGAAATCGACCTGGAACTCGATTGCAACAGTTGATTGGGCTTCATTCTTGCAGCTATCCCCTCAATACTCCATGTATGCTCCAAGGGTCTAGTCAGCTTGGTCAGCATGTCAGCTATAGGCTTTTCCAATTTATCCTTCGGCCTGAAGCGTTCTTCTTTCCTCTTCCTGCAACTCCTTCGCTCGCTCTGCCAGGTTGTCCTGAGCAAGTCCGCATTTCTTGCAGCTCTATTCGCTGTGTTCAGTGCCCCAAGTGGGCTTCCGAGAGCATGCTTGAACGATGAAGTTTGGTTCTTCCTTCCCACGCCCTGAAATCCCTGAGGCCCCGAAATGCCTGGGTCATGGACTGGGCCTTTTCACAAATCACCGCCGTGACCTCAGTGCCAGAAAAGACTCAAGAAAGCGTGTAAGTAAGAGGATAATAGAAATGCCAACTGCGTGGCCCTCACAGTCACAGGAAAGTGTTCGGTGAAAACAAAACTATATAGTTGGGCACTAGCTCACTAGCTCAGGAAGCCTCACAACTCTAAGCTGCAAACCAAATTCAGAATGACATACGCAGAAATCGCCATGTGCAAGAAACAAAATATCCAAATGTAAGGTTGTCTTTCCATCAATTCCTGGCCAAATTTGGTTGCACTCAGCACGCAAGAAAACCAAAAGCTGGACGTGGAAAAGCGGAGCCCGCATGTAGCTCCCCCTCAAAAACAGGAATGCGGATGCTAAGGGAGCGAGGGAGGGAGGGAGGGAGGGAGGGAGGGGAGGGGAGGGAGGGGAGGGAGGGTACACAGTACATTGACGCGTCACTTGTGAAGAATGACTCGGCAAACCCGTCCTGCATCATGTCAAGGGCATTGTCGAAAAAGATGAAGCGTGTCATCCCCATGCAGGACTGAATCCTGGGCAATCTGGGCATTCTCTAAATTCAGAAGAAACAATCCCAAGTGTAGGTACATCATGGTACATTGACACCACAACAAATGTCAACTCCACTCCATGACTCTCTGGAGAAAATGCTTCGTACTGGGTATCCAACAGTCCGTTTTGAAAGCTCCACGCAGCACTACCTGCATGGTTACGGCTTTGCGAATTGAGCAAAATGGAACCTCTCCTACAAAGAACATCTGGTCCAAAGAAGCAAAGCGTTTGCAAAATACGCCTCCAAAAACTTTAGACCTTCACCCTTACAGGCCACTCTGTCAATGCCCTTCCCTGCCGACGTTCGCCTCTTTCGGCTAAGCCCCATGGCTCAAATCTGCCAATGAGTTCCAGCGCAATGATGCCAAACCTCATCGTTCTTGGTCGGACTTCGATCGCACAGAGTTTCTCAGAAGCCCCTCTATGAAGTCTCTGGCTGCGCGCGCCTGGAAGACTAAGCTGTCTACATCAGGTCAACCATGGCCAGAAGTATTACGCAGGCTGCCAACGTTGCTTGGGTTCGCAGAAAGCCAGCTAGAAGCATCTGCCCGATTTCGCGCAGAGGTCATAGTCACAGTCAACAGGTTCATAGTTCAGAGTCCATCGTTTCGCTGAATCTCGCTTCAATCAATGCTTCTGAATCCCTCTGAAGAAAGAAGAGGAAGCAAAAATATAATGCGTTCTTCCGCAATTGAACATGTCAACTGTCAATGTCAGTCCAATTCCTATGTCGTCCTTGTTTGATGATACATTTCGCACGTAAAAAAAAGAATGAAGCCAGCGGCCCCCTGCCTTGAAGGTTTCGAAATTCTTCAGGAAGGCAAAAAAGCGCAAGGTCTTAGGTGACGAACGGCACAGGTTGACCACATTATGAGATTGAGAGTGATTCATGGACAATTCTGCAGAATAGCTTTTCAGGATAAATCAAGTATCGCTACCAAACATGAGATTGGCGCCCTGTGTCTCAATGAACCAAAATCCGCCGACATATTGACATATGTCCGGGATGTGTCTCATAATAATTTGGGTGGCCGGGAACTCACCCAGCAAAGGCATCTGACTGGACCATTTCTTACATGGACTTGCGGTACACACATGACCATCTCAATCCCAAACGCAGAAAATGATCCTCCTGTGGCACTTTGTCACTCCGTCATGAATGCGCACACAAACACAAAGCCTTGGCAAACCTGCTGGGCTTCGTGGCACGCATGCTTCTCAAGACATTCAAGGACTGTGCGATCCTCAGTAGCCAGACGATTTGGGCTCTTCCAAACCTAATTTGCCTGCTGAGTCTAAGCTCTGATCGGACTCTTCTGCCCCTGAGCTCATTTACAAGCTGCATACGTGCAAGCATGTTTGTGGCCAAAGGCTGATTCTAGGTTCGCAACATCTGCAGCCGCGAGTGGAATGATCCACCTGGGTGAGCTTGTTCTACGGCATCTTTCTGTCAAGCATAAGCACTGGGCAAGGGTAATCGAAATCACCAGCAAATTGTCGAAGCTTGGTCTTGAATGCTTTTCAGAAGGCTGTGTTGGGCTTGCTTTTGCTCCTAGACTCCAGGCGCTCATTGCCAAGATGCCCCAGAAGTATGCCACAAATCCACACAATCCCAGTGTCCAGAACATGCTGGCGACATGATGGTTGTGCTCATAGCTAGAAGAGATTGTTCTTGTATCTGCAATTTGATTCTACTCCACACTTCAAACTGTTGACAAAAATGGAAAAGGTTTACGCAAATGAAGAGGGAAGCTTTTTGTTTTCGTGAAGGCACACAAATTAAGAAATCACACCTCGGCCTTCACTGGTATAAAGTATCTTTTTCCATCTTTCAGAACACCTGAGAAGCAAAGCGGAGCGAAGCTGAGTGAAGACGGCAAATGACAGTCTCTCACCGCTTTCGTCTCTCAGACTTCTCAGGTGTATTTGAAGCGCACTCCCCTTTCACTGATTTCACCCTTGTTGAAGACTGAACACTCAAGGCTGTTTAACAGCTTAAAAGCTTTAAACCCTGCGCAAATCCAAAAACAAATGGCATTCAGTTCAACGGGGTCAGGAATCTGGCGAAGAATCCATTCAAGCAAGAACATGAACACAAAGAACTGGTTCATGACGTCGTAGAAGACCTGGCAAAGGCAAAGGGGTTGTCTACTAGCGTCCTTGCTCCTAATAAGTTTGGCAAATATATATATATATATATATATTTTTTTTTTTTTTTGGGGGGGGGTGCAGTTCAATCAACCACTTCGAAGGGCCAGGGCGACCAATCACAAAAAGTTGAAATCTCCGGCTCCGGTTCTTAGCCATTCAAACAGCAACCCGCCTTGGTTGCATCCTTGGTCTCTTGAAGCAGGAGTAAAGGAATTCTGCTGTTGACAACAAGCCATAGCATTAATTAGTTTCTTGGGGGAATGTGAGTCCGCCCACACTGAAATGAGGACATTGGGTACTGCCTTAGCTCCAGAACAACCATCTTCTGGAGCCTCTGAAAAGCTTCTCGACAAAGGGCTGAGTGAGAGGCACTACAATCCTTGAAACAAGCCGCATCCGCACCTAAGTCAAGAAGTACTCCATCTACCAACTACTGCCAAACAACGTTTGTACGGTATCTAGAACGCTGCCTTGTTTAGAGGTCTGAACGCCATAATGCCAAACAGGCTGTCAAGAACATCAAGAACAGGTAGAAAAACTGAGAGTAGTACCAAGAAAAAACATGCATAGAATGATGGACATCATGCTGCAGGCCTTCGCAAGAGACGATTGCAATGTCTATCTTGCTTCGCCAATGAACCAGGCGCTACAGCGGCACTGGCATGAGCAATAGTTATGTTCAAAAGCTGTGAAAAGTGTACTATCCAGTTGGTAGCTAAGGGCATCGCTACTAATACTAGGAACAAGTGCATCGATACTAGTAGCAAAAAACTACTAGTAACAAGGGCATCGCTGAATAAACAGAACACAGCATTGATGTTGGCATTGCTCGCCATGTGTGTCTGTGGTCGTAGGGCCCAAAGGTTTGCACCGCAATGAATTGCTGCACCCAGTTGGCGCGTCTGGAACTGCTCCACTTCATGGCTCCACTTCATGGCCTCAAAGCCATTGCTGTTGACCAATCGATGTACCAATGGCTTCTCCTGCAGCAGTCCCACCAACTGTTCCACAATGCTTGGCAGATCAAACAGCAACTTGGTCAAGTTAAAAAAAGGAAATGGGACAGCACCTAGCTCTATGTGCGAGAAGGGCATCCATCTACGAACTGCATTGACACTCAGCAGGGACACGCTAACTCGCAGCCATATATCCCATTCATTTCTGCTCTAGACTCCCAAAACATGCGTTTGTTGCCAGTACATGCACATACACCTCACCAGGTTGGGTAGCTCTACAAAGCATTCCAAAAACCAGCCCCGGAGCCAAGCCTGCGGCTGCATCAATTGACTCACATCCTGTCAAGTGGACAGCCATCCCTTTTTGGGTGGAAGGCAACTAATCTTTGACTGGGTGCGCAGAGAGAGAGAGAGAGCCATGAAAGGAGTGAAGGAAAAGAATACTCAACACACACGCATTGGTTTGGGGGTTTCCTCACATTACAAGCCCAGATGCCTAGGTCCGTTCACGCATTTCTTTCCGGTCCTCCTCGCTGCACCGGCCATCTTCACCTTATACGGTCCAATGCTTATCAATGTTTACCTCTCGTCTCTTTCATATATATATATATATATGTACCTGAGAAGGGAGGGGACGAAAACCAGCCTCCGTAAGAAGACATCAATGTGGTTCTAGGGTGAACTCGACAGTGAAGAGCACCCCTACCATTTGCTTTTCTGGTCTTGTAGATGAACTCATAAACGCGGCGTGCTGCCAAGAGTTGACCGATGAAAGTTTACTGCAAACATCATGCGATTGCCTAACATCGAGCAAAGGTTACTGAGGAGATCCCATCGCCTAGGCTATCGGCTGGCTTTCATAACTATATTATATATATGTATCAATTTTTTTGTACTATACGTGTTTCTTTCGCCCCTTTCTTCAGCGCCTTGGAGAAAGGTGTGTGCCATGGCTCGCAACCTCCTAGCGATGACTTCCATTTGATCAACTTTTCAGCTGGTGACTCGGTGTTGGCGGAAACCGTTGCCTCCCCCTTCGAGGGATTGCCGCAAGTAGCTGGCATGTACAGCACGTTGTCCCCCTTTTCCTGTCCTCGACATGAGCCCACCCCTTGTCCAAAGACAGTCCAAATAGCCTCCTGAGCCCCTTGTGATGCTAATGATGCACTATTCGGCGTCACCCCAAAGACCATAATGTCAAGTTACGATTAATAAACCTCCCCTAGTTAATCCGAAGACACAAACCCACCAGAAATTGCCCAAATTAAAAGTATTATTCGTGCCTATTTCCCCCCCTAATCTTCTAGTTGGGCATCAGAAACCCCCCCAGTTAATCCGAGCCCACAACCAGGTCAATTTTTCGTATTACTACGGCCACTACTACTACTACTACTACTACTCCTACTGCTACTGCTACTGCTACTACTACTACTACTGCTGCTGCTGCTGCTGCTACTGCTACTGCTACTAGCATTGCTGCTGCTGCTGCTGCTGCTCTGCTACTGCTTCTGCTTCTGCTTCTGCTTCTGCTACGTGCTACTACCACGACCACCACCACCACCACCACCATCACCACCTACTACCTACTACATGTTTGATGAAATCCTTAAAAATGTCTAGGGCTCAGGGCCTATGAATTGCCTTATTAAAAAACAATTAAAAACAATCATTTGACAAGCTCACAAAGGGTACCCCTCACAAGGGCCGGTCCCCCATCAATAATCTGCACTACTACCCCCTATTAATTTGATCCTGTGTCCCTAGCCTTTTCTTTGCGCTTGTTTAAACTTGTTGTAACTACTACTACCCACTACCTACTACCTACTACCTACTACCTACTACCTACTACCTACTACTACCTACCACCTACTACTACCTACTACCTACTACCTACTACTACCTACTACCACCTACTACTACCTACTACTACCTACTACTACCCTACTACCTACTACCTACTACTACCACCTACCTACTACTTACTACCTACTACCTACTACCGACGACGACTGCGACTACGATGGCTCCCTGAGCCGATAATTCAGGGGGAGGGGACCACACACAAACACACACCCTATACTCGCCCATCCGACAACTCCAGCCTAGACTATCGGCTGGCTTTCGTGATATAAATATATATATATATATAAAATCCTGTCCACCTATCAAAAAACACGCGGCCACCCCCTCCCCTAATAAGAACCTCGGTCGCATTTTCTAAAATAGGGGTCCCTGAAGTCGGGGTGGTCCAAAATAGGGTCACCTGCGAAGGGCTTCAAAACCAAAAAGAAATGTTATACAAGAACCTTTAATTAACTCGTATCAAAGATTCAAAAAACCTCCAGATCTTCCCCTACAAAAACCTTTCTTAGAATACGTAATAGTTATTCTTCAATAGACTAACAACTAAAGCTTTTGAAAGGTGATGTCGCTGTGCCATGCGGTTTTGCGTGACCTCGGTGGAAAGTGCGTTTGCGGGAGTCCGGGGCCCGTTTTTAATAGGTATATACTCGGGAGTATATACATATATTATGTGATCTTTATATGTGACAAGCAACCGCAATACATGCTGCAGCACCCACAAATCCTGCATTGTGAAGCCTCTGTAACTTCAATAGACTGAGGCAGGTACTTTTGCCCAACTGAGCATGGTAAACTTCAAGCCAAGCTACCTTCATCCTCTATGACGTATGGCGCCACGACCCAATCCTTGAAGCTGCCTGGCTTAACAGGCTGATAAAGCATCGCTTGCTGCTCGAGGGTGGAGGGCAATGTTGTGAGATGCAGAGTGACTGTCCACATTTGCCCCAAGTGGGCACGATGGACTGGAAATCAGGCTGACAACTGGTCCTTCGAGATCAGAAAAGTGGGGCAAGGCTTGGATATGTTCAAGTGTTTGGATGGCTGGGGATCATCGACAAGGGTGTCCTGGCCTTCGCGTTGGCCAATGTCTGCAGACTGCCAACCCCAACAGAACTACAAGTGACGGAAAAAGCAGTGGATGTCGTGTGTGAAGTTGTTTAACAGACCAAATCATGCCCTATCGTCACTGGGAACAAACAGCCAAAACAAGCTGCTGGGGGGCGGTGAACATGAGAACCTGCTGTGGTGGTACGAGTGACCGTCCGTCGCAAACCCAAACAAGCGCGGGCGTCCCTGAAGCCGCTGGCATTTTTCCTTAGTCGTTAGATGTGAGAAGATCCCGCTTCAAGAAACTTGTAGCAGACCGACGCGGATCGGGTCTGCAGTGCAAAGCGGTTTTCCGGCGAAGGCTAGTCGCGTAGTCTAAATGGCTTTAGGCCTTTGAGAGAAAAGTGACCGGCGGACAAAAGGCCACTCTCAAGGCACAAACGGATTCCATGACAAGTGCAATCTTTCACAGCTGCTCTATCTTTCTTTTGGAATGCGAATCCGTGAAAATGCTGATCAACACGCGAGCAGGAGTTGAAAGAAGGGCTTGTCTGTTGGCTAAGGATCTCATCGTCACATGATCTTCTAGGATCCGCCATTGGGAGATTCCGGTGTCCAAGTCAAATCGAGCATACGTCGTCCGAATGGGGTACTTTTCAATCTCATATCTCCCTACGGGGCTCCTATAGGACCTAGCATGGTGAGCTACATGGGTCACGATGTCACCCTTGTGGTGCCAACCGGGGCTCTCAGAAAGCTGTTGGAGGAAGGCGAAAACTGGCAAAGCCTCATTCAGCGGCTCTCCGTCCAAGGCTGCAGAGGAGGAGCTCAAAGCAATTTGCTTCCTGCTAGGCTTTCCTTGCTTCACGTAAGCTTGGTTGAACGTGTAGCACCATCGACCAGAAGCTAGGATGCGGTGTAGGTAGGACTCATCCATGTCCTTCGTCCCACAATCCACAAACATATTGCTTGCGCTGGTCCACTTTAACGAAGTGCAGGCCCGAGCCAACGTGGCGCGGATCCAACCAATGGTGAAGCCAAGGGACTTCTGGGCTCCATACGTGGCAGTGTCACTGTTCCCCTTGTCATAGAGGTCTTTCGCGTCAGTGATCTGCACGAAAGGAACAGCCTCCAGGATCTCATCCTGCATCCTCTCTTGGACTGGGAAGCCCTTGAAGATGGCCAGCAGGCCACGGCAGAACATGCCAGCATCCATGCCCTCTTCTGCTCCTAAGAGCTCAGCTGCAAACGTCGAGCGGCAAACACGGCTCAGGCGGTGACTTCTAGAGTCAAGAACACAAAAGCTCCCTTCTCTTCCAGCCAGCAGGTCGCTGTCAGCGACCAGGACATAGTAGCAACTCTGGGAGTAGATCTTCTCCAGGATGTTGCCAGAATCACCACCATCCTTGTTGGTGTTCCCCAAGGAAGAGTCGGTCACCACCATTATGCCACATTGCTCCAACTTCAAAGGTCGAAACCTCAACTCAAACTGTGAGTGCTTCTTGAAGCGCTTGAGCAATGCATTGGCACGCATGAGTGTCTGCACTGTAGGCTTCTCACCCTGCAAAACGCTCAGGTGATATGCCAAATCAAACCTCAGCTGTGCCACCAGCCACTGCAAAGATCCCAGGATTGCCCTGAGCTGTCGACGCTCGCTGTCGTTGAGCTCTGCCGAAGTCTGTGCACGTCTGTGCACTGCTATGGAGACAGGCTGTAGGTTGCTGTGGTACTCAATCATGGAGATGGAGATGGAACCATCATCATGCTGCCGAATGCGCTTCCCGCAGTAGGTGAAGTCATCATACTCCACACTTCCAAAACCAAGGATCTGCCCAAGGTCCTGCAGCAAAGCTTGTGCACGGCGTCCGCCTCCAAGCAACAAATCATCCACATGGGAGATGATCACTCCCTCCAAGGTGGATTTGTCCTCAGACCACAGCAGCCAGCAGGCATAGTCCATGGGAGAGCGTTCCCAACCTTGCTCCAGCAATGCCCGGTTGAGTCGAAGATACCACTGGCGTGGTGCATCGGAGAGGCCAAACACACCCTTCCGAATCTTTGCCAAGGCGCGACCAAAAGGCAAGCCAGGTGCATCTGAAGTTTCGCTGTCCTTCATGTTCTCCATGTAGAGTTCACGATCACCTGCCATGTAGGGGTCGCCCTTCAGGAACGCGCTCTTCACATCAGCGCTCACCAAACGCCATGCATCTTTCTCACCCTTCACAAACTTGTTGTGGCTAGCAGTCCAAATCAAAAGCATGTGCTGACTCAAACGAGAACCAGTGGGGGCATCCTTGCGAATTGCAAATGAAAGCACATCTCTGAACCCAGGAACCACCACCCTTGCTCGAGCTTTGAGAGGTAGAGGTCGGTCAGCTGTGCGGAGACCACTGTGCTTGTCTGTGAAAACAAAGCGTGGGGTCAAGATCTTGCCCACCTCCTTGTTCAAGCGGAGCCGCTTGCGAATTGCTTCTGACTCAGCCATGGGGAGCACTTCAATGGCTTGGTTGTCTCCCCAAACCTTCCAGGCATCTTTGGCTGCCTCACGAAAGGCGATCTTCTCCTCCGGGCTCATGTTCCTCCAGAACAGCTCTTTATGCGCAGCACTGGCCAAGAGGGCCTCAGCATCATGCGAGCCAGTAGGCCAGCTCCATCCAAGTTTTTGGTGAAGTTGCCATTCGGAGCGAGAAGGCAAATCCCATCGTCCTCCCCAGCTTCCATGGTCCTTGACCTTGGCATCCAAAGGCTGCTGCTTATCGATGTCAGCCAGGCTTGCGATCACTCGCAAAGGATGCTCCTTGCCATGCTGAAATTGCTTCATCAACTCATCCTCACCCTTCTCACAAGCCACCACCAGCGACTCGTTGACACCCGAAGGTGCTGAAGGTGAAGAGCGAGCACCATCAAAGGCGGATTGCTCAGCCAATGCTTCCACATCGACTTCAGCTGGTCGCTTCATTCCACCACTTTCCTCAGCCAGGTCTCTGGCTTGGGCAATCTGTCTTGCCAGGAGGCTGCCAGCGGTTCCAGCACGTCGAATGAGCTCAGGCACGGGTGAGCCAGGTGCAGGTCCCATGCCTGTCACATCACTGATCCTCCTTGATGGAAGTGCAGAGGATCCAACCATAGAGGGAATAGGAGCTGCTTGCTGCGCCACTTGAACCAACTCTTCAGGTCTCACTGGAGGCAAATCAGCTCCCGGAACTCCACGTTGTTGAACCGGAGGTTGCAGTGCAGGGGTCATCGGCATCGCTGTCTCCTCTGGTTCTTCTGGTAGAGCAACAGGTGGAGCAGCTGGAAGACCTCGCAAAGTCAAATCATGCTGCGCTGCCTCAACCACTTCTTCAATGGCGTCTCGCCAACTGCCAGCAGCAATCTGCTCGAGCCCACTTGCCACTCTGACATGCTCCATGGCTGCCTTGGTCAACTGACCTTTGTAGCTCAAGAACGCTGAAGCGTGTCCTTCAGTGGCCACCAACAATGCAGGGCCATGCCATCTCTTCAAAGTCAACCTCTTTCTACTTGGGCTGGTCTTGTTGTTGAACCTCAGGGGCCGATAGAAGTAGCAGATTGTGCCAGGTGTTGGAACTTGCTCCATGGTGGTGCTTCGACTTCTGGCCAACTCAGCACGGCGTAGTCCCTTGCTGTAGTGGAGTCGCATCATCGCAACCTTGGCCGTCTCTCGCAAAGCCACCAACCTTGCATGTGAAGTTCTCCCTTCTATGAGCGAATGCTCAGCCAGCCGAGACTCAATGCTACCCAAAGTGTCACCAACCATCCTCGGCTGTCGTCCAAATGTCGCCTGGTAGGGAGAGAAGCCACTGTCATTCACATCTTGATTGTAGGCGGCCACCGCCTCACTCAGGGCACGTTGAAGCTCCTCAGCACCAATCACAGAGTGTGCTCGAATGACAGCTGTCAGGATCGCTTTGAGCGTGCTGCCTGATCTCTCTGCCACGCCGTTTTGCCATGGGGCTTGCACTGCAATGTGATGCAGCATTGTGGACACTGAACTTGCCCACTCTTCCATTTCCCAACTCACGAACTCTCTGCCCTGATCTGCCACCAGTACTTGGGGAGCACCAAACATAGCCAGCCATCTTGAAGTCAAGAACTGAATCACTGACTTGGAGGACTTGTCCGGCAAAACCTCAGCAACCTGAAAACGTGTTGCAAAGTCCGTGGCATGGGCAACATAGAAACGTGTTTCTGCAGCATCTTCTATCTCCAGCAGGTCTACGTGAACCTGATCTGAAATGTCCTTTGGAGTCGGCAGTGATGCTGGTCTCCTGACTTTCGGAGGTGCACGTTCTTGGCAAAGAGAGCACTTGTGAGCTTTGGCAGCAGCTATAGCTTCCACAGGAGCACCTGCAACTGCAAGAGCTCGCGCCAAGCGACGATTGCTCCTGTGGCCAGTATTCTCATGTAGGCGCTTGATGGCATTCTTCAAGGAAGGACTGATCTTGAGGTCAGTCTGAGGGGAATCGCCAACTTCTTCATCAGAAATCTCTTCAGCGCCCAACGCAAGTAGGCCATCACCAAAGTCCTCCTCCGCTTCTCCCGTCTGAGCTGCCAGGGCCTCCTTAGGCCGGAAGTCCAAATCGAACTGCTCCATGATCCCCTTCACCAAGGCGCGTGCCAGCGGCTTCGGGTAGATGCCCGCATGAGCTGTAATCTTGGAGCCTCCCAGGACAGGTTGATGGCTGTGGTCACGCTTGCAACGAAGGCCATCCAACAAAGCAATCACCCTGGGGCTTGAACTCACCAGCTGTGTGGATTTTCTATGCAACTCACCAGAAAGGCTGCGAAGGTTGAACCGGCATTGGTCAAACACTGCTATCTCCACATTGTGCTCCTCGATGAACTTCTGCATGGGGAGTGTCTTCCATGCTAAACTCGGGAGCGGGTTCTCCATAATGAAGTGTCGACCACCTTTCATCTGCAGCTTTGCGACTTCAATCGCAAACTCCATCAGGACCAAACCATCAGCTTGACGTTGATCCAAGGAAGTCAATCCTCGAGTGTTGAGGTACTGTAGTGGACTGAAAGGCCCACATGGAAAAGCAAGCGCCACGCAGTAAGGCTTCTCCTCCTCCAAAACCTTCATTGCCCGGCTTCGGTGCTCAGCCAAAAGGAAGTTCCATCCATTGTCCAACGACATAGCCGGACCCACCTTGTGGCCTCTTCGTTCAGCCTCTCGCATGACATTCTGCGAAGTGGTGTAGACCTCAGACACAAGGGACCGCTCCTTGTCAGGGGGCTTGACATTCTTGGAAATCAAGACATTCTTGGGCTGGCTCTCATTCTGAAGGGCCTCAAAACCGGCAAGAACCTTGTCATCCGGAAGACACAATTCAAACGGTTGGAAGAAGGTCTCTTCGGTCATGAAGTCCAACATCTCCTGTTCATGGTCAGCCACCAGCAACTCTTTCATCTGCCTTGGAGATTGTGACACTTTCTTTCGATCTTGTTCATGCTGACTCCAGGCTTGAGCGACCAGTTGAGCTTGACCAGGTTTCAGATCTTGGTGAAGTCTGAATTCATGAGGGCGGCTCACATCCCTGCTCCATCCCTGAGACCCAGACGGATCTCCTGCATCACTTCGGCCGGAATGTCGTCCCCGAACTGAGCTGTCAAATTGGCTCCGTACAGCTCCTCGTAGGCCTGACCATTCAATTCCCGAATCTCGGCCTCGGTGAAGTTCACGGGTGAGGCATCCTGTGGCGAGTCTGGAATCAGACTTGGCTCTGAGCTGAGATCCACCTCCATCTCCGGAGTCACTTGTGAGCGCAGCAATGCCAGCTCGCGAGACATCTGCTCCATCATAGCCCTCATCTCTTGCTGCTGAACTGCCAGGTTCTTGGGGTTGTCGTTGAGCAGCCTGGCGGGCGGTGAAGAAGAGCTCGCTGAAATCTCCTCGGCCGTGTTGGCCTTTGCTGGGCTTACCGCTGGCTTCTTGTTCTTGAGGATCTCGATCATAGGCTTCACCTTTTCTTTGATCTGAGCCACGGAGTCTTTCTCGCCCAGGTCCACATGAAGCAAAGCAGCCAACTTTACCAGATCGGCTCGAAGGGTAGGAAGACCTCCTCGAGGGCCAATGAGTGCCCGAGCCTCTTGTTCTCGACTTCCGTCGGCTTCTGCTTTCTTTGCCAGCTCCTTGGCTTCCTTCTGAGCAGCACTCCTCAGTTTGGCTGTTATGCCCTTTGTCGTCTGCGCTGCCATCATTCCTGCCAGGACGGGATCTTCGATGAACGATGTCCTGAGCCCCACCCGGTTGCGAAGGTGCCGACATTCTGCCAAGTTGCCCATGGTGAACAGGTTCTTCTCCAGGCAGTTCTTGAGATACCTTGGAGGGATGGTTCCATCTGAAACCTGCTTGCGCACCTGAGCCAACCAAGCTGCTGTCGTGGTAGTTGAGGGATAGGGCAATGGCAGATATCGCAAGTAGGGCCTTTGCAAAAGCCAAAGGAGCAATCCTTTTGCTGCCCAGCGAAACCTTTCTCCCATGCGGAGGAACATCCGCTTCCATCTTCCGACCTTCACGTCCATGTTGGCGCTCTCGCCTCCCAAGAGGTTGCCTGCAGTCATCCATCCGCCGAACATTGGAGGGTGAAGTAGTCAAGGAAGAGGAACTCGAATTTCGATCAGTCGTCCCTTCCGGCTTCATGGACGCACCTTGAGCTTGAACCGATGAGCCAAAAACATCAGGTGAGTGAAGAACAGCGCAAACCAAATGGCCCACACGAACGCTCTGCTCTGTCAGAAGGTGGTCATGTGAACTGCTCTTCAAAGATGAACCAAAAGACAGTTTCTTTCGAAGCCATTGAACAGGACTCAACTGCAGTTCCAAAACACCATCAACTCCCAAACGCTTCCAACGCTGTGGCCCCACACCTGACCAGGCTGCTGGCACCAATGGCAGGAGGAAATGACCTGCAGCCAGCTGCTTCAAGGAAATCGGCTTGCCCGTGAGGTGTTCACATCGAAGGGTGCGATGGGCAAAATGCATGTCAGCTCCAATTGCTTCTAGAAAATCACGACCTAAAAGCAACCCCAGTGAAGGAATCGGCACCAATGAAGTCCAAAAACAAATGATGGAGCCATCTAACTGCATGGGGAGCCGCCACCGTGCAACACTGACTTGGGTTCCACCGTTGCCAAACTTGAAGGTCTCATACTCCTTGTGGGATTTGACCAAACCACGAACTTCTTCGGGGGCATCTCTCAGGCAACGGAGGTAGTTGTTGAGCCACTCCGTCCCAGTGCACGTGCGGTTGCAAGCTGAATCAAGGGCTCCAACAAGCATTTTGTCGGCAGAGAGCTTGCCAGCAACATTCACCTCTTGTGGATGGAGGTGAGACTGTTCAAAAGCTGCCACGAACTCATTCGTCATGGGGAAGGCTCCAACTGCCAAAACTTCATGGCCTCCATCCTCCATCACAGGCGGAGACACTTCGGTGTTCAAGGCCTCCGTGACCTTCACTTGCTTGACCGGCTTGTTCTTTCGACCAAGGCCTTGTCCAGGCTTTGTGCACTCAGGATCACCGGCCCAGTGGCCTGGCAAGTTGCAATCGAAGCAAGGATGCTTCGAAGACTGCTTCTTGGGGTTCATCTTGCCCTTTTGGTCAGCAGGCGAGGCACGGCCATAGCCACGATCCTTCTTCACTTCTTGGAGCTTGACCTTGGCCTCACGCATCGTGAGAAGAGCTTCTGCAGCAGTTTCAACTGACTCCTCAATCTGCTGCAAAGTGTCGCTGTCAAGGCCACATTCGGCTGCTTCCTCAAGGTCCTGCGCCAAGCCTTCAGCCTCCATCTGAAGCACCTCATCCAAAGTCGCCTGAGGTGGATCTCCACCGTCGGCCACAAGCTCATCTTCTTCCTCAGGGTCGACCTCTACCTCAGCTTCGGAAACCATAGCCTGCTTGGGGAGGCCACCAAAAGGTTTCTGGAACCTGTACGTGCTGGCTCTTGAGGTCGTGGTCGATGAAGAGGATCGCATGGATCTAGGTGCAGAGCTTGTCATCGAGGGGGCGTAGGATGAAGCTCGGCTCGGACTTCCTTGTCCTTGTTGATGCTGGTTCAAAAAGCGCTTCAACAACGGGGGTCCACTTTCTCCTCCTCCGAAGGGCTTGCGGCTGAGAGGATCTTGAGCATGAAGGTCTTTGAACAAGCGCAGCACCTCTCGTTCAATGCTCTCGTAATCCTCAACTCCATTCAAAGCCGTCTCGAGGAGCTGAGTCCGCAAGGCGTCCAATCCAAGCTTGGACTTGTAGAACCACCCAAGCTCTCCAGAAGGCAGCTGCACACCTTCGGTGCGGAGATCGGACACGAGTGTCCGGAAGCGCGTGCTGAACTCTGCTATGCGCTCTCCTGGTCGTCGGCGAAGCTCCAAGTAGAACTGGTTTCTCAGCTCTCCTCTCTTATCCAAGGTGGTCTTGCCATTGATCTCCTCGAGAGCCTTCATGAGCTTCTGAATGCCGGCCAGGGGATTGGCCGCAGTGATCACCACCTGCTCCTTCGTCTCGGGGTCTTCAGCTGTAACCGCTGGTTGGTGCTCAAGCTGCTGGGGTGTAAATTCTTCTCCTCTTTGACGTACCACCCCCGATTGCCGTAGCAACCATCGAGCTGCCAAGTTGTACTTGGTCGTAGAGGCCAAATCTAAGGCCGAGCACCACCAATCCATCTCCCGCTTGAATCCTCGCCATGTCTGAGGCGATCCGTCCCATGTTGGGACGCGAGCCCATGCGCCGCCATTCCCATCCTTCTCGTCCGACATGATGCCTTAGGCAAAGACAGGGACGAAATGGAGGTCAAGGATGTAGTGAGACTTCTTTCAAACACGGAGCGGCAAAAAGGTGAATTCGGACCACCAGCCGTGAAGGTTCCTCCTGCGCCTGCGGGAGTACAACAAAAAGCGGGGTCCAGGCAAGGTCACAACCTCGTCCACGGAGATCGATGTCAGGACACGGAAGCAAAATGCCCGACACAAACTCAATGAAGAGCGTGGCCACAATGCAAGCGGAGTCCTCGAAAGCCAAGCGCAGCAAGCCAGGGCGCGTGCCCAAAGGAAGCGAAAGCGGCCCAGCACCCAAAGGTGGAACGCCAGCTCCGGTGCCACTGTAGCAGACCGACGCGGATCGGGTCTGCAGTGCAAAGCGGTTTTCCGGCGAAGGCTAGTCGCGTAGTCTAAATGGCTTTAGGCCTTTGAGAGAAAAGTGACCGGCGGACAAAAGGCCACTCTCAAGGCACAAACGGATTCCATGACAAGTGCAATCTTTCACAAAACTGAACTGACCCAAAAACCTGTTGCAACAGCCATCTCATGTGCATCAAGATTCGGAGAAAGTCTCAGCTCGCTTTGCGTGGCTTCTTCCTGACACAAGGGCAGGACTCGGTCTCCATGCGTGGAATACAAATTTGCGCCCAACTAGGGTCATATCTTCAGCATCTTCAGCCGCACTCGTGATTGTCATCTTGATATGCTGGCTTGGAGACCACCGGTGTCTCTCACAACCGCAACCTCTGCTTCCATGTGGGAAGGTTGCTGATCCCTTTGATTGTAATGCCACAATGAGGTCATTGTTGGGTCTTTGGATGCCTGATTCTCAGCTTCACATGTAGAAACCTTGGATTTTCGCATGCCCAAACAACCCATATTGCCCCTCCTTGCTCTTCAACTTCGGTGCTACGCATGGACGAGGTATGGCCCGTCAGAAGGAAGAGAACAGGGTGATGTTTGCTGCCAGTCTATGCCTGGTCAACCGTAATTAGCTATGGCAATGCAATCATAGTTTGGCTGTGGTTTTTGAACTACTGTCATGCGCATTTGTCGTCTTGTGATGAACCTTCCATGTTCCTTGGTTGTCTGCAAAGAACAAACAATTCAAAGCCTTCTCATGTGTGCCCCCGGTGGAGTACAGCTTCCAACCCCACTCACATACTCAGTGAAAATGTTTCGATGCGAAGTCCTTGCAATGCTGTGGTTTTATGTTTAATTTCATCCATGTCATGGGAGTCCTTTTTTGCTCCCTCTCTGGCCCCGTGCCTGCGACAACATGTGCTATGTATGTTGCGATAAACTTGGTATAGGGAGCACAAACAACATCTATATTACTGACTGAGCAATTGGGTGATTGCAACCAGTTGGCGCGCTTGTTTCTGCAAAGGACGTGCCTCCTCTTTGGATGCCAAGTTGCTAACTACTCTGAAGCACTCTCAAGGAGTCATTTCTCGAAGTGCCGCTGAAGGCTTTTCAACTCCTGACACAAAGCCAGAGGCTGGTGAGAAGCCCTTCAACTTGAAGGCCCTCAAAGCTGACAGCTAGTTTTTGGACATCTTTAATACAGTCCGCTTTCAACATACTCCTTGAGAGTCCTGTAGAAAAACTAAACATCTTCCCAGGGGAATAGTGATAGCGTTTTCCATAAGCTGGGAAAGGACCTTGTCACACATCCAAATATAGTGCAAGAAAGCTGCCCAACGTGGCAGGGTTGTGGGGGCAAGCATCGGTCGTCCATTTCTGGCAAGAGGGTGTCTCTTGTGCTTGCCACGAAATGTGACCACCAAGTCAAAAATGCACACGGCACCACAACGAGAGCGCAGTTAAGGAAGGAACACACCCTCTTGAGGCGGTAAATTTTTGCGAGCTGCGCAATCGAAATGCACTTCGAAGGTTTTGAGAGGCATGAATGGGCTGCAAATGGCAGCCGATTAGCTGCACACAGATGTGAGCACCCTCGATCAAACCCAGCCTTAACCCCTACCATAGGAACCCCTAGTGTATCCACATTGTTAAAGGAAAAACATCAATTTTATAACCCCATCTGCGAAAGTGTGGTTTGCAAATTTGTCATGTTCACCTCTGGCTGCACTGTGCTCCCCACATGAACATGCCCCTTTGGTGTCAAACGCAAAATTTCATCTTAGACCCAAATCTAGAGAACTTCAATTAGAGAAAACATTGAACACCAATAACTTAGTTGGATCTAATTACAGATTAAACAGCAATAGTTGAATATGTATGTTTTGGGAGAATAGTTGTTCATTGAAAAACCGCATACTAATTGAGTTTGAACACGTTTCTGCAAGGAGTTCCAAGTGGACGCCAACTAAACATCAATAGTTGTCATTAAGGGTTACCAAAGAAATGTTTAATCGGTGACCATGTGCGAAACCGGCGGTTGTACGACATTGAAACAGACTTTACAAGGGATCTTGATCGGAATCCAAATACAAACCAGTTTGCTCAATAAGTTCTACTTGGAGTTAATTACCAATGAATTAGTTGATGCTAGAAAGGACTTTAAAGGGATGTTAACTGGACACCAGATACAAATAGATATGTTGTGTCATGTTAAAGAGGAGATTCAATCAATGTTGATGGGAAACGTGACAGTTACAATTCAGCTGGTTGTACCATAGCTCAAATATGAAGCCAATAGCCTAAAGCCAAACAACTCACATAACACTGACACTTACCATAGCTTGCACTAAAGCATTTCCTTTCCAAGATTGATGTAACATTGATGCTGACAACGTATCAATTAAACTTAAACTATTGATGCTTATTTGGTTTCCAATCAACTCCCTTGTAGATTGATTTTCAATATCAAACACAGCACCTTTCTTTTATTTTGCCTATAAAACGGATCTTAACTCAGGTTTTTTCAGATCAATAATTTAAACATTGATTTGTCCATTGGAACAGACATGGAGAATTAGTACACCACCACGGTGGTCCCCAGCTCTCTTTCAAATCAGCCGCCACTAGATTTTGAGCTTATCAGATGATTTGAAACAAATAATTTTCCCCGTGCTTTGAAGCCTGCGCACTGCTCAGCACGGCGACATGCGGCGACACAACAGGCTGCATTTCAAGGCCACCGAGCCAAAAAGAACCGCAGGAGGACGCTACTAGGGGCTCCTGGCATCGCTACTAGGAGCAAGGACGCTACTACTAGTAGGAGCAAAGGGCATCGCTACTAGGAGCAAGAAGCTACTAGGAGCTTTTTCGCGCGCGCGCGCGCTGGGAGGGTAGAGGACGCTACTAGGAGCATTACTAGGTTGGAAACCTGTTGCAATGATTTTGACTCTACCGTATAGGAGAAGCACTGCCGCACTGATTGCGCGGGTCAGTTCACTGCAAAACTCGTGGCTATCAACCTTGAGATAACATGACCATGATTGTTGTGAGGTGAGGAACTTAACGCATGTGTTTCACACCTTGGAAATCAAAGGGTACCACAGTGAAAAGTTTAAAGTGTAGCCTCTGGCTGGGTAAGTTCGCAGGGGCCCTATTGATGGAGCCCTTTCCCTTTGTTGTCTTCTTTGTATCATTCCTTAATGTTTTGTAGCTTCTGATGATCCAAAAAAGAGACTGCCTTCCGCTGTTGGGTGAGGGACAAAGCAACAGTGCTCGATTCGTCTTGATTCGGGGTCCTGCGTTGCAGAGTCAACAGTGTCTGCAAGAATCAGGAACCTTGAACAACCACCAACAAACAGGTTGGGGTCTAAAGGTAGTGCAAAGACCCCCTCCAACCCAGCATCCAAGCTAACAAACCAATATCCTAATCCATTGAATCACTGCCACGAAAGAATATGTTCTGCAAGTATTGAAGATCCAAGAAACCCATGACCACGTCGGATGAAGACCTTGTTCTTGGGATACCTGATCACATTCCAATGAGCGGACTCTTCCATAAGAATTCGGACGGGATTCACAAAAATGACCCCTCGCATGGTGCATCCACGCAGTGACTGTGATTTGAGGTTGCAACAACGCTATAGAATGCCAAGAATTGGGAAAACGTATATATATATATATATGTGCGTAAAAACTTTGCTGGCTTGGCAAGGTACAACAAGCACGTGCATGGCACCCTCACCTCTCTACAGTATGTGCCTGTGCAATGTGTTTTCTGCTTGAAATATGTTGAGAAGGTGATATCCGGTCAACGCATCAGAGAGTGTCATGAGTCTCTCCTCATGAGTCTCTGGCGGATAACTGCTGAATAAGGTCATGAGCGCATCCACGTCTTCCGGCGTGCTGAAGAGCGTCTCCTGCACTTAAGGGTTTGCACACAGATGTATATAAAAGAAAACATCAAAAACGAGAGGTAAGGCTCCTTTAAAGTTTAAAGGGGCCTTACTTTCCTCTGTTCATCTGCTCTTCAGACAGTTTCCAACTCTCCAGTTGCATGAAACAACCTTGAGGTCTATAGGTGGTGGAAGGTTCAAGTGGTCGCTTACGATCTGCAATGGACTTGAGAGACACTGGAAAAGAAGGATGGACATGAGCAGATTGATCCGCCGGCTTCTCCTCATGGCTAATCGGCAACTTCAAGTCCTCCGCAATCCGCAACCCAGCCTCCGCAATCCAGAATATTCTGCATCAAAAATCCCACCTAGTAGCGTCCTTGCTCCTAGTAGCTTCTTGTTACTAGTAGCGTTCTTGCTCCTAGTAGTAGGGCCAGGAGCCCCTAGTAGCGTCCTTGCTCCTAGTAGTATATATATATATAAAGACTCCCGGCCCTCTTTACCTTTTTTGTTCGCAATGCAAGACCTAATTGGTCAAAGGATAAGGCGAAATGAACAGTCTTTGAAGTTCTTAAAACTCAAGAGAGGCCTCCCTGCCTCTGATCCCCCCCATCTCCCCCCCGCCAAACCAGGGTGAGAAAAGCCAAGGATCATAGAGCGGCCCCGGGCCCCGCCTAGCCAGGGAACATCCGGGCCACCACTCTTGTCAGGACTCTTTCTGTCGTCTTTTTGCCGCCGGCGGTGTGAATTCGAAAAAAGGGACGTCATTTGTGGTGTTTCTTCCTCTTCTTCCCCCATCGTGCCTGCAGAAGGGGGGGTGGCAGCGGGTGCTTAAGCCAAACTCTACGTGCAAAAAAGGGTTAACGTTTGGTCGTCTTAATTACCGGGGGCGGAAATCCAAAGACTCCCGGCCCTCTTTACCTTTTTTGCTCGCAACGCAAGACCTAATTGGTCAAAGGACTTGAGAGGAGGGAGACACGAAAGGTAGGACAGCGGGAAGAGAAGAGAACGCGAGAGGCAGGAACAAAAATGCAAGGTTCGACATGGTGATTTATCCCCGCGGAGGCGACCTTTCGTAAATATATGTTCATATGCACTCTAAATGTTCAAACATATGCTCTCGAAATGTTCAAATAGATTCTTAGGAAAACAAACTTGCCCCATGGGTCAGATCATCGGTGAGCATTGAATCGGAGCATCATAGGATTTGAACTATCCTGAAACCATAAGAGGCTCACGAAGACGTTTTTGAGGAGAGAATTGACGTGCTTCACAAAACAAACTCTAGGTATGTATCCCCTCAGGGAACACTTTTCGATCCCCTCGGGGAACACCTTTCGTGATTATAATTTCATATGCACTCTTTCTGAATGTTCAAGAGGGTTTCAACTATCCTGAAACCATGAGAGGCTCACGAAGACGTTCTCCAGGAGAGAATTGAATTAAGAGGCTCACGAAGACGTTTCCCAAGAGAGAATTGACGTGCTTCACAAAACAAACTCTAGGTATGTATCCCCTCGGGGAACACCTTTCGATCCCCTCGGGGAACCTTTCGTGATTAGAATTTCATATGCACTCTTTCTGAATGTTCAAGAGGGTTTCAACTATCCTGAAATCATGAGAGGCTCACGAAGACGTTCTCCAGGAGAGAATTGAATTTGGAAGGGGGGGGGTCTGTATTGAAAAATCAATTCCAAGGAACACCACAAATGATATCTCTTTTTTCGAATTCACATCGCCGGCGGCAAAAAGACGACAGAAAGAGTCCTGACAAGAGTGGTGGCCCGGATGTTCGGCTAGGCAGGGCCCGGGGCCACTCTATCCTTGGCTCACTCTCACCCCCCCCCCGGTTTGGCGGGGGAGAGATGGGGGGATTCAGAGGCAGGGAGGCCTCTCTTGAGTTTTAAGAACTTCAAAGCTTTATCGCGAAAGGTAGCCCTTTCGGGGATACCTTGAGTTTGGCTTGCGAAGCAAGTGTCGGCGAGTCCGGGTCTCATAATTGATCATTCAATTCAACCCCCCCCTTGGAATTGATTTTTCAATACAGACCCCCCCCCCCCAGGTCCCCCTGGCCTCCCCTTTGGCGAAAGCTCAAGAGTTTGAAGCGGGGACGTAAGGGATTCCCGGTACTGTCGCAAATAGGCATTTGCAGTGGCATTAAAATTTAACCTAAGTTCAGCCAAAACAGCGAGACCCTCATTGATGTATATCCGAGCGGTTTTTGCCGAATCTCCCCTGAACTAGGAGACGGTCCAGGTAACGGTGTCGTCCGAAATACATAGTAGCGCCTCCTCTTCTGAGGCTGTAAGGTCTGAAGTCATAGCTCTCCAGGTTGCAGGCTTGAAGCGTGTCGTCAAAAGTCTTTCTCCAGCTCTGGGGAGTACCGCAGAGACATGAGGGAGTTGTTGGGGTATTCAACCATTGCCAGAGTCTACGAAGGGTTTCCTCTTCTCGGATAGTAATGCTCTCCGACGCTCCAGCGCGCTTGCCGCCCTTGGTCAGACCAAGGGATATCACTGCGGGACTTCGCGGTCCTGTCTGCACCACATGAGACTTGTGAACTCCCAACAACTCCCGGCGCGTAGGAGTCCATGGTAACCAAGCAGAAGTGACAGTGCAAAGAGGGGTTTGTCTGCGATCAGGCTGTGACCTACAAGCACGTGGAGTGCGTCCAAGCGCTCGGTGCTCCAGGCCGGAGTCTCCACGCCCCCGGAACACGACCTCTGAAGGTTGGCTGATGATGGTCTTGGACAGCTGCGATTGTATCACATGCCAGGGCTCTTCCCTCCCCGGATTCCCACAGATGCTCAACATAGTGGGATAGGAGGATCGGCTTCTCGTGGAAAGGTACGGCTTTCATCACGCAGGAAACTTCGGTATTTCTCAAGTGCCTTGTAATATCTATCACGAGTCTTGCTCTGAACGGTCAGGCTGCGAAGAGGTCCAAGGGCCCGCCTTTGGGCTTGACGCGCTGCTTTTGCTTCTACCTTCCAGTTGCGCGGTTGTTCTTCTTACCATTTCTTCCGTACCGGCCGCCTCGAGGGTCAGTGTCCTCCGTAGTTTGCGGCTGCTGCTTCGGCCACGCGAGAGGGCATGGAGGCATACCAAACTATCGATCATATGCACGAATTTTGTTTTGAAGGGCCTTTTCTTGAGAATGCGCCACCTGAGCGTAGTAGTAAGCACTGCTCGTAACTCGAGGACATTGATATGCTCCGGAGAACGCCACCCCATCACGGTTTTCCATTTCCAAAGAGCTGCTGGTAGGCTGGCACGTAGTCGATGAAAACGAAGAGTCTCTTCCGTCTGAGCTTGAATCATAATGTCCTCTCCCTTTAAGCTGACAAGTTTAGGAGCTTGCCCACCAGGGCTTGCTCCCCGCCGTCTGTACCTTTAGGAGCTCGAGCGCTCCCCATCGGAGGTCGCTTTCTCTTTTTCTGTATCCCTCTCGAGGGCTCGTCCTCTCTCTGCGCAAGCTCCTCGCGCTGCCTCCCCGGCTAGGGGGTCGGGCTCGACCCGCTTCTGGATTGAGATGGCGTGCGCTAGACCCTCGGCCTCTAGGTGATCCAGGCAGCGGTCCCCGCAGAGGTGTGCCCTCAGAGCTTTTGCTGGATACCATTGCTACGCGGCGGTCAAACAGATGGTCTAGCTCTCGGCTCGGTGGTAGCTGGCTCTGCTGCCATCAACTGCTGGCTCTTCTCTCGAACTCCTTCTGCGTCTTCTCCTTGACCTTGATCGAGTCTTGCTCGCCCTCTTGCTATCCTTTCTATCTCTACTCCTTGTCCTGCTTCTCCTCCTTGAACGCTGATCTCGCTCTCGATGATGTCCTTTGGATGAGCTCGTAAACTTGCCTTCTTCCTCAGGTTCTGCTGGAATGCCGTCTCCTCGTAGCTTCCTCTTCCTCTCGCTTTGGGGTCACCCGAGTCTTGTCTGGACGCTCTTCTACTCCTGCTGATTCCTCTCTCCCCGGACCAGGAGAAGCTGCTGTGGGGCGGTTGTCTTTCCTGCTTCCTCTTGCAGGCGGAGGTGTTCCTGACGCTTGTCGCCCTCTTCTTGAAGGATGCTCGTCCAGATGCGCAGGCTATTGATAGCCCAGCCTCTCAGGAGATCGTCCAAGATCTCCCAGAACCTATTGCGCGTCCGGCAAAACGTGCAGAGACTTTCCTGCTCCCCGGCACACAGGAGCCCGCAGTCTCTGCAATGCATCCGTGCTTAAGCCAAACTCTACGTGCAAAAAAGGGTTATCGTTTGGTCGTCTTAATTACCGGGGCGGAAATCCATATAACCTTTTGGAGTGGAAGACCCAACTGTTGACCACTGACTGAGCCTTCTCAGCGAGCGCGTGCCCATGTAAGCACACCAGTGGCCGCTCTGGCCACCCAAATTGCTTAAAGGCCGACATCGCACAAGCCCAATGTAGTGGCCTCAAATGCGTCAGTGTGTCAGTTACTCGTGGTTGTATTTGTATATACACAGACAGGACAACAGTTGGTAGCAAGCGTGTGAATACATGACCTGCAACCCTTTGCCCTTTAATCCTACACAGGATCACAGTGAAATTTTGGCAGAGGAGTTCCACCCTGAAGAAAGTTTATACTACGCAAATTACAAATTAGATTAGTTCGGGGTGGAAAGTCTTCCGCAATAATTCCATTGAGAAGGAGATGTCAAATCATCAGATTCTGGGAAAAAGTGTCACCAAACATTCGTGCTCCTGAAAAAAGAATATATATATATACACAAGGACGCTACTAGTAGCTCCTGGCATCGCTACTAGGAGCAAGGACGCTACTAGGGGCTCCTGGCCTTACTACTACTTGAGAGAGGAGGGGGTGAACGAAAGGTAGCAGGGAATCAGGCGTAACCCTGGAGGAGGCGTGTAAGCACCGTCGTTTTGTGCTACTTTGAAGCCTCCAAGCGCCGAAAAAACCCTTTCCGCCGCAAAACCAGATGGAACCCACGAACCCGAACGCAAACACGATCGAACAACTACATATGTCCAAACGACACTCTTGTAAGACACTCTTGTGGGACACTCTTCTGGGACACTCTTGTAGGACACTCTTGTAGGACACTCTTGTGGGTCACTCTTGTAGGAAACTCTTGTGGCACACTCTTGTAGGACACTCTTATAGGACACTCTTATCTTGTAGGACACTCTTGTGGGACACTCTTGTGGGACACTCTTGTAGGACACTCTTGTGGGAAACTCTTGTAGGACACTCTTGTGGGACACTCTTGTGAGACACTCTTGTAGGACACTCTTGTGGGTCACTTGCAGGACACTCTTGTGGGACACTCTTACACGACACTCTTGTAGGACACTCTTGTCGGACACTCTTGTGACATTGTAGGAAACTCTTGTGGGACACTCTTGTAGGACACTCTTGTGGGACACTCTTGTGGGACACTCTTGTAGGACACTCTTGTGGGACACTCTTGTCGGACACTCTTGTGGGACACTCTTGTGAGACACTCTTGAGCGACAGTTGTGGGACACTCTTGTGGGACACTCTTGTGGGACACTCTTGTGGGACACTCTTGTGGGACACTCTTGTGGGACACTCTTGTAGGACACTCTCGTGGGACACTCTTGTGGGACACTCTTGTGTGACACTCTTGTGGGACACTCTTGTGGGACACTTTTGTGCGACAGTCTTACAGGACACTCTTGTGGGACACTCTTCTGGGACACTCTTGTGGGTCACTCTTGTAGGACACTCTTGTGGGACACTCTTGTAGGACACTCTTGTGGGACACTCTTATAGGACACTCCTGTGGAACACTCTTGTGGGAGACTTTTGTAGGACACTCTTGCGGGACACTCTTGTAGGACACTCTTATGGGACACTTTTATAGGACACTCTTGTGGAACACTCTTGTGGGACACTCTTGTAGGACACTCTTGTGGGACACTCTTGTAGGACACTCTTATGGGACACTCTGTTGAGACACTCTGGTGGGACACTCTTGTGGGTCACTTGCAGGACACTCTTGTGGGACACTCTTGTAGGAAACTCTTGTGGGACACTCTTGTAGGACACTCTTTTCGGACACTCTTGTGGGACACTCTTGTAGGAAGCTCTTGTGGGTCACTCTTGTAGGACACTCTTGTGGGACACTCTTGTAGGACACTCTTGTGGGACACTCTTGTGGGACACTCTTGTAGGACACTCTTGTGGGACACTCTTGTAGGACACTCTTCTGGGACACTCTTGTAGGACACTCTTGTAGGACACTCTTGTGGGTCACTCTTGTAGGACACTCTTGTGGGACACTCTTGTAGGACTCTATTGGGACACTGTTGCGGGACACTCTTGTGGGACACTCTTGTGGGACACTCTTCCAGCTCCCCAGATACTCCGCGTACTAAAGTTGTACTACAAGGTCGCCAGTTCTCACCTTCCACCTCCACAGATTGCTCCGCGTACTAAAGTTGTACTACAAAGTCACCAGTTCTTAGCTTCCAGCTCCACAGATTGCTCGGCGTACTAAAGTTGTACTACCAAGTCACCAGTTCTATCTTCCAGCTCCCCAGATACTCCGCGTACTAAAGTTGTACTGCACAGTCGCCAGTGCTCGCCTGCATTTCGCGCACTCGACACGCACGATCTCCGCAGAGGGTGGTGCGGGCACCGGACAAATCGCACTCTCGCCTGCATTTCGCGCACTCGACACGCACGATCTCCGGTTGCGCGCACATGGGACAAATCGCGCTCTCGCCTGCATTTCGCGCACTCGACACGCGCGATCTCCGCAGAGGGTTGCGCGCGCATGGGACAAATCGCACTCTCGCCTGCATTTCGCACACTCGACACGCACGATCTCCGAAGGCTTTTTTTCTACTTTACCGATTTTCACCCTTATTTTACCGATTTTGCTGGGCGTTCTGTCTGTCGCATGACATCCTGTCAGTCATCATCCGCTATCCTGGGGCAACTATCATATTAGTGGCAATATTAATGGGTTTGCCAAATACCCCCAAGGACCAGCAAGGACCCTGCTTTGTGGTCCTTGCTTGGGCCTTGGGCGGTTTTTGGCCGCCAGCACTCGTTTGCAAAGTCCTGGGCCCAACCCAATGCCAATCATTGACACAAGGGTATTAAGATAGGACTGGACAGATCAGTCAGTGAAAGTTAATGTGATTTGTGTGCACACTTTGTTCACACTTGCAATGTGGAATGGCTTCAAAATGCCAAGCCGTCCTGACAGCCATTTTGATTGATTGCCCTTTACTGATTGCGTTGCCATGGCCCCTGGGGCGCCAGTGCCTCCTGCTGCCAAGAAGTTGAAGTTTGACAAGTACCAGTGTGGCATTCTCCCTGGAGCATGCCTTGTGGCCTCCCTCAGAGCAATTCAGGGGAGAGAAGGCGACAGATTAAAAGCCTGGAACAGCAATGCGATTCCTGCACTGGCAGAGTGCTTGTGACAGCCTGCAGCCTGGGCCAGGCAGACAATGACAACGCTAGTAAAATCAGAGTGGATGCGCCGATTTTTCAACACACAAAAAGCTATAGACAGACGCTTTAAGAAATTTAACGAGATAGCAAAAACGGCCTCAGCGAGGCTCTGCTGCATTTTGAACCACTGTTTTGGCAACATTTTTGACATTGATTGATATGACACTGGACACGTTCAGGTCTCAAGCCTCGTGTTTTCAGTCAGTGGTTGAGCTGCAGCTGCTTTCAGGGTCTCGAGCCTCGGGTCGAGCTGCAGCTGCTTTCGGGGGTCTCGAGTCTCGAGCCTCGCGTCTTCTGCAGCTGCTTTCAAAGGTCTCGAGCCGCAGTCAGTGTCGAGCAAGGTCTCGTCAGGGTCGTGCCTTGAACTTGCAATGGGCTGGCGTTGGGTGTGGAACAGGTCCAACAGCAGCTCCGCTGGCGGAAGCGGAAGCGGGCGAAGGCTGCCCCTCCGAAACCAGCTGCGCCCACGCCAAAGGCTAAGGGCAAAGCGAAGGCTAAGGCTAAGGCCATTAATGTTCCTGCTGGGGTGACACTGGGCTGCGGAAGACGCAGACAGTCATTAGTGGGTTGCCGGCAATGCCGCACCAGGGCTGGCATGACTTTTGATCATTGATCCTGTGTCTCAAACGTGGAACTAGCGGAATTCCACATACGAGCGGATTTTTCTTCTGTGAGAAAAGAATCGTAAGCTTTTTCAGCGCATCCTCCCTTGTTGACAATTGATAGAGCGGTGATTCATGTGTGGTATGTGCTGACTTTGAACTGTGCTTGTTGCTATGCAAGTTTGGGTTCAAATAACTGTTATAATTGAACATATCATCTGGATCCGAATGCGCCACTCCCTCCGAGTGTGGGAATGACGGCGATGCCAGCCCAGATGGCCTTGCTGCAGAACAAACTGAAATTCTCTATGTGGACTCCGATTCAGAGGCTACTGTATCAGTGCCATCCATCATTGACGACGAGGACATCTATTTCAATGAGGGCTCGGAATCAGACATCATCGTGGACGACTTGGACGACAAAAAACCTGGCGCATGCAGGGATGACTTTATCGAGATATTCAGCCGCCCCAGGTTGATTCC